AATATATATATATATATATATATATATATATATATATATATATATATATATATATATATAGTACAATAATTATATTATATGTTATATAAGATGAAAATGCTTACATTTTAAAACTAACATACTGTTATTGTTATTTAGCAAATAATGAGTTATCAAGAAGTAGTGAGGAACCTGTTTTCACCAAGTCTTGAAGATCCTTTTCTTGACAGTTTGTTACCGTTGATCTTATGTAGTACATGTATTTTACATGTAACTATAAACTAACCATAAAAGTAACAATTACATTTGTTACTATTATCTAAGAAATGTAACTTTGTTACAGTTATAATTAAGAAAACTAAAATTTAAGAAAACTAAGTCCTTTAAATAGTTACAGACTACAGGTAACTTTTAACTTTTACAATATTATGTCATAACAATCTCTGTATCTCTTCTTTATAAAATATAATTAATAGTAATAGTAATCAAGAATAACAATAAACATAGATTAAAACGATAAATCTACCGAAGACAGGAGAAGTCGGTGAAACTAATTGTGAACGAATAGCGAGAATATTCACGAACGATTTCACCGAATTTTGTATGAGGCGTTGTTTCAACCCCTAAACATGCGAGGGAGCACATATAATAGAAATATGTCTTTTATTTCTAGCTATTTCATACGTATTCAAAGAGGAACATTTTCTTTTGTTTCTTTGTTAAGAAAACCAGTTCTTATATGAGAAATATGTCTTTTATTTCTAGCTATTTCGTACGTATTCAAAGAGGAACATTTTCTTTTGTTTCTTTGTTAAGAAAACCAGTTCTTATATGAGAAATATGTCTTTTATTTCTAGCTATTTCGTACGTATTCAAAGAGGAACATTTTCTTTTGTTTCTTTGTTAAGAAAACCAGTTCTTATATGAGAAATATGTCTTTTATTTCTAGCTATTTCGTACGTATTCAAAGAGGAACATTTTCTTTTGTTTCTTTGTTAAGAAAACCAGTTCTTATATGAGTCCACAAAAGAGGAGAGGGTACGTTCAAGGAGTAATTGCACTCTTGACTAGATGTTGTACATAATATATTTGAACTATGAACACCGGTCTAAGATCGGCCGGATACGGCTCTCTGGATACTTCTGTCAGACGAAAAAATTAATTTTGGATCGGCCGTGAAATCCGCAATTGTGTGTGCATATGTGTGTGTAAACAACGCCGGCAGTGGGGGTAATGCCGTATTTGGTCACTCCATGCAAGCCCGCGGAACGGCATGAATTAATGACACCAACGGCCACGTAGCGAAGCCGATTCCGCGTCATTCGATCGCGATACGTCCGGCCGATTCATAAACCACCCTCCAGCGGTAGTCTCGCGCGGCGTGGGTGTTTTCGTGTGTACAATGAGCAACGGGGTCCACACGAATAGCACGCATGTGTGTGTGTATGTGTGACTCGCGGTGCGTTAACGGAAGCGAGTAAAGCTCCGCGCCCGCAATCTGATTGGCCGGACCTTCCCGTAATTGCCTGTAGATCCCAAATCGCGATTAGCCGGGAAATTAATACGACTCTGGATCCGCGATTTATGCGAGCCGGTCGTTGGATTATGCACGCACCGTGTCGGTAACTCGTGCGTAACCGCGTCGTTCAAGGATCCACCCAGTGTATGTGAGAGAGAGAGAGAGAGAGAGAGAGAGAGAGAGAGAGAGAGAGAGAAAGCGCACCCTCTGTGGAAGTTAGTTCGTCGCTTATCATGGACGATCGTGCGTCTCGAAACGTGATATCGTGCTGTTTCCGAGATAGTAGTCATTTAGCGGATAAACATATGTTGAAGGTGAGCAATAACGTCGGCTAATATTTCAAGATTGCGGCTGGAGAAAACGCTACTTGCATTCGACTGAATCTTGCTATTCGTATCTCGTTGCATGTGGAAGGACGTACTTAACCGAAGAGATTCGTTAAAATACTGCTCGTTCAATGCATCGCTCCCGTTTATCTATTCCCTTTTCCCGCACAGAAACACAAATTCCACCGCCTGGGTAGCACGTGAGCGGAAAAAGCGCTGTTGAGGTGTCGAGGTTGTCGGTGTTGTTGCCGCGACGGTTGGCCCCACATTCCTCTTCCGCGCGGCCATGGCGAATATTTTTCGACAGCAAGAATCGAAAGAGAAACGGAGGCATCGACGATGAAAAAGCGAGAAATGAGTCCATGAGAGACGAGGTAAAGAGAGTGTGAGAGAAGGGAAGAAAGAAAGAGGAAGGCAGAGAAGGAGAGAGGTATTGAGCTCGCGGTTAGCGAATCGTGTAGCGTTAAAGGGTGGCCGGCATGCTATCCCCGACGACTCGGGTCAACAGGCATTGTCCAGCGGAATTACCACCAGCGGGCCCCTGTGATTAAATGCTACCGTCCCTTCGCCTCTCATCCTTCCAAGAGGATCCGGAGAGGAAGTGGAGAGACAGAGAAGCCGAGAGAGAGAGAGAGAGAGAGGGAGGAGATGGGGGAGGAGTGGAAGAGGAAGCAGAGGAATACATACCTATATGGGGGCTGTTGGCTCTGCCATTCGTACCTGCATACCTATACCTTGCTGAACCCCTCGACCCTTACCCCTATACGGAGATGGATAATGCCTATTGTTTCGAGCATCCTACGCATCCTTGGTTCAGGCCGCGATACCTAGGAGCCTTCCTCGAATGCTTGCGTCGCGATACGATACGTCCAAATGGTAGCTAAATACCCGCCTAAATGCGACCACAACTGGATCCTCTGGTAGCTTCCGCGTCCGATCCCGGGTCGCACAAGGAGCCGCCGGATACCTGACGATCGGCATTCAAGTGCAAATTGGGCACACGCCGCCATGAATGTCGTCTGTGATTTCCGACCGACCTTCTGGGCGCTCCGTCACGTTGCTCGTTAAGTCGTGTCTCATTAGACGAAATTCGCGCCGGTCATCGAACGCAATTGAGCTCCGGTGTAATGAGTTCGAGTGTAAGTCGTTAATATTGACGCTGATATTAGTAATTAAAATCCTGTGTGGAACAATTAAAGTTCCGGGAGCAAGAAATTGGCGTGGCACACTCGAGTTTCTCCCTCGATAAACAAGTGTTCGTAAATTTGGCAACTACTTTAACAGTCGATTTGTAAAGGTTGCAACAATCTCATGACAATCTGACATTTATCATATAGAATAGAGAAATAGAGATACAAGAGATTTACGAAAGAGGATTATCAAAAGTTGCTCAGAACAATACATAAGATGAAAATATGAGTGTAACTTTTAATAAAATACTACATCTATACAGCAAAATATTTACATTGTATAATATAAATTTAATGATTAATACAACATATATATACAGTATATTATATATTATTATATATAATATACATACTTTCTCCCTATAATATACTGTATATATTACTGTATATATATATATATATATATATATATATATATATATATATATATATATATATATATATATATATATATATATATAATATATATA